GCGGTAGTGGATGGGACCGCTTTCACTCCACGCTCGCGTTTGGGGATCTTGAGAGCGCGAAGTCTTCGGTGTGGCTTGAGCGAGAGAGGGAGGTTGTGAGACCCTCTCGTCTTTCCCTCTTCACTCTCCATCACCTTCTCCCCTCTTGGTGGAGATAAACAGAACACTCAAAAGCGCGATAAACAAACGAAAGAAACTAGAGAAAGGGAAAAAAAATAAACATTAAAGTCGTGAGTGGAAAGCAGAAAACTCCAGCCATGAGATTATCTGTGCTGGTGAGTGTCCTATGAATGGAAGTCTTGTGTTGGTGTGAAATTTAAGAAATATTATATATGCCAAAGAGAGATCATGTCCGAGTCCTTTTTGGAATTCATCCCTGCATGCTTCATTTGTGTGGACGTTTCATCATTCTGTAAATAGTGCTTCACTGCATGTGTTGTGTTGGCGAGTGTATAGAATTGAGGTAGCTGTAGGGCGCCGTGAGATTGGTATCTACGTCGCGTCGAAATCCCCAATTGCATTCGCTAATTATTATTGATGTCTGAGGGTCCCTTGTGTAGAAGAAATTCGTGATTATATTGCAGAGTATGGATCATGTCATCCATACTTGCTTTCTGATTATTTTCCATTTTTTGTCATATGTAAAAATATGTGTATATGAGTTTCCTGTCCGGATAATGTTTGGTCAACGGGATACAGAAAAGTAAAATTTTAAAAAGGGCAAATTTTCAAATTAGATTCCAAACGCGCCTGATGCTCCAAATTCCAGAGCTAATAATTCCAGGTCGATTTTATCGGGAGCACGAAAGGCCGGCTTGGAGGTCGAGCCGCAACCAGGCCAAGTTTAAATCTCCCGCCACGAACAGGTTCCAAACGGGCCGCCGCGAGACCAAACCCAATTTTTCCACGCGATCGGAACCTGTTTCTCTCCCAACACAACTTTCTTGTATAACTGTCTGTTTTCTCTCCTTTTCCGTGCTTAAACGATGCGTTGATTATTGCTCTGAAACTTCCCTTCCTTTCTTTCACCCCAAATCGTTATTCTTTAGAAAGCCTACACAGAAAAACGTTGCTGTGTTTACCCGGTAGAGCGAAGAACGTTTGATGTCGACCTTGAACGCGACCGCGACAGGTATTAGCGCCAGAAGAAGAATTAAGACGAGCTTTTTACACCCGCGTTTAAGAGGCTACGAGGTCATTCGCCCGAGTTTTCATCTCCGAATCGCTGGACCGTGATTACAAAGGGGTAAATCTTATCGGTATCACGGCGTGGGACATACTATCGACGAGACTGATTGTATCTTTTGCTGCACGTATTGAGGGGAGCAAAAGCGTTCACGTAGAATCCTTTTCAAAGAAAAATTCAATCGGGGAAGATTCACCCTTGACCTCCTTCGGTTAGCTGATGATCTGAGTGGTGAGGTTTCTTTTCTCTCTTATTTTTCTTGGTTTTATATCTCGGCAATCTGGTTGATGACTTGCTACTCCTGTGAAAAAAGTATTAGGTACTTCCTTGTATTCGGTTAGAAAAAAGTCTTCGAGATTCCAGTACGCACAAATATTCGGAGATAAAATATATATTTCTAAAATTCATAACTTTCTAAAATAAAGAAAAAAGGAAAACAGAAAACGTACAAATCCACGTCTTAGAATCAAACTGACGTAATAATACCGTCTTAAATCACACAGAGAAAGAAGAAATAAACAAATAAACCACCATTCTCACGTGATCTATTGTTTGCGCAAACTCCTAACCTCACCTATTTCGCTAAAAACCTCATTTTCCTTAACCCTTCACATGCCGCAAACCTTTCTACACGAAGCAGTCTTAATACCTTTCGCACGAAAAAAAAAGTTGAAATATTATGGCTAAATCCGTTTCACATTTTCGAATATCATTTCATATCAGTGTTATAGTAATATTTAACAGTGTCTCTTCGATGCAAAATTTATATATTAAAGAGTGTACATGATATAGAAGAATTAATAGATATATTTAGTTGTTTTTTTCTTTATTCATCATAACCATCTCACCTAACATACGTCATTATTTAACGTCAGTAACAAAATGGAGGATGTTTATGGAGGGAGGTAGAGAGCTTCCAATGATAGGCAGATATGTGGTGAGGAGGAGGGGTAAGGGGGAGAGGGGGGGTAGTAGGTGAGGGGTGGGGGCAGGGAGAAGGGAAAGGGGGGATTGAAGGTGGGGGGAAGGGGTGCTGAGTAGGGCGGGGTCGATGTGCAGAAGCTTGGTCACTCAGCAAGTCTGGAGAAGATTAGGTCAAGCCAGCACTTTCTCTGCCCGGCTCCTCCCTCCCTCCCTCCCTCTCTCAGTCCTCTCCCTCCCACCCGATCTCCCCCCCTCCTCTTACCCAGTGCCCTTTCTTCCGTTTTCCTTTCTCCTCCTCATTCCGTTTTCCTTTCTCCTCCTCATTCCGTTTTCCTTTCTCCTCCTCTTCTCCTCCCTCCTTCATCCTTTCTCCTCCTCTTCTCCTCCCTCCTTCATCCTTTCTCCTCCTCATTCCGTTTTCCTTTCTCCTCCTCATTCCGTTTTCCTTTCTCCTCCTCATTCCGTTTTCCTTTCTCCTCCTCATTCCGTTTTCCTTTCTCCTCCTCTTCTCCTCCCTCCTTCATCCTTTCTCCTCCTCATTCCGTTTTCCTTTCTCCTCCTCATTCCGTTTTCCTTTCTCCTCCTCATTCCGTTTTCCTTTCTCCTCCTCATTCCGTTTTCCTTTCTCCTCCTCATTCCGTTTTCCTTTCTCCTCCTCATTCCGTTTTCCTTTCTCCTCCTCATTCCGTTTTCCTTTCTCCTCCTCATTCCGTTTTCCTTTCTCCTCCTCATTCCGTTTTCCTTTCTCCTCCTCATTCCGTTTTCCTTTCTCCTCCTCATTCCGTTTTCCTTTCTCCTCCTCTTCTCCTCCCTCCTTCATCCTTTCTCCTCCTCTTCTCCTCCCTCCTTCATCCTTTCTCCTCCTCATTCCGTTTTCCTTTCTCCTCCTCATTCCGTTTTCCTTTCTCCTCCTCATTCCGTTTTCCTTTCTCCTCCTCATTCCGTTTTCCTTTCTCCTCCTCATTCCGTTTTCCTTTCTCCTCCTCATTCCGTTTTCCTTTCTCCTCCTCATTCCGTTTTCCTTTCTCCTCCTCATTCCGTTTTCCTTTCTCCTCCTCATTCCGTTTTCCTTTCTCCTCCTCATTCCGTTTTCCTTTCTCCTCCTCATTCCGTTTTCCTTTCTCCTCCTCATTCCGTTTTCCTTTCTCCTCCTCTTCTCCTCCCTCCTTCATCCTTTCTCCTCCTCTTCTCCTCCCTCCTTCATCCTTTCTCCTCCTCCTCCTCCTCCTCCTCCTCTTTTTTTTCCTCATTTTTCTTTTCTCCTCCTCTTCTCCTCTTTGTCTTCCTCCGATCCCTCCTCCTCCTACTTCTTCTCTTTCTCTTTCTTTTTCTCCTGCTTTCCCTCCTCCTCCTCTTCTCCCTATCTACTTTTTCTTCCTGTCTCCAACTCTTTCTCCATTACCCTTCTCCCCACCCCTCTCTTTCCTTTCTCCACCTCCTCCACTTTTCTGTTACCTCCACCTCTTCCTCCCCACCTCTCCTTTCTCCTCTTTCTCTTCTTTGATCTTTCTTTTATTTCTCTACCTCCTCATATCCCCTTCCTCCTCTTTTCCTCCTTTCCATTCTCCTATTTATCTTTTTTCTTTACCTCCTCGTCTTCTCCCCAATTCCTTTCCTTTCTCTTCCTCTTCCCCATTCTCGCTTACGTCCACATTTTCTGCCTCTTCTTTTTCACATCTCATCCTCGCTTCTTCATATCCTTCTTTTCTCTCATCTCCATTTTGCTTTCTCCTCTTCCTCCTCTTTTTTTTCCTCATTTTTCTTTTCTCCTCCTCTTCTCCTCCCTCCTTCATCCTTTCTCCTCCTCCTCTCCTTTCTCCTTTCTCCTCCTCATTCCGTTTTCCTTTCTCCTCCTCTTCTCTTCTCCCCCACACTTTCCTTTCTTCTCTTCCTCCTCCTCCTGCCCCCCCCCCCCCTTTGCTCTCGCTCGCACGGGCCGGTCACCGGGCTCGGAAAACGCAAATAAACCACTTTCGAAGCTTCGAAACTCGTTCGGCCGCTGACGATCCGAGACTCCGAAACCTAAAAAAAAGGAAAGGAAGAAAAAAAAAAACTTGTCGGATGATCTTGTTGTTCCCGGAACTGGTTTGTTCGCACCGAATGAGAAAATACCTGAAGAGAGAGAAAGAGAGAGAGAGAGAGAGAGAGAACTGATTAAAAAAAAAAAAAAGATAAAAAAGAGAAGAAAATTGCGATCGATCCGGTTTTCGATTTTTTTTTTCTTCAGGTTAAAGTTTTTTAGGAGTTGGCTCTCTTCTGGCACTCTCTCGTCTGTTAGGTTAGTGGCACAAGCCTAGTGTTTTATTTAATTTGATTCTAGGATTTATTTATCGATTTATTCTATTTAGGGTTCTCTTTCTCTAGCGTTTACAATTTTTAAGTGACCAAGCATTTGTTTATTTATTTATTTATTATTATTTTTTTTAATTCAAATTATACATCTCCCCTAGCACACGCAGCTCACGGATTCTTGTTGAAAGCCTCTGTTATAACCACGAATGATCCTATGGGGTGTATTTCTTTCTTTTTTTACTCTCTCGTCCTCTTTAATTATGTCCGACCACCATTAAAGTGTGTCTTGTTTATTTTCGTCCTTTGACCTTGTGTACTCGGCCCACCAGATGCTGCCGCACAGTTTGCTCACTTAGCCACCAAATTGCACAGATATGACGATGCATTTTTCGGTAAATTCTTTGTCATAGTTTTCTAGGTTATTCGAAAATGAGACTTTACTGACCACTCATCTTCTAAGACTTCTTATCCGGGATGACACACGGCAGATTGTTATCTTTTCTGCCCTTCATTATTTGGAATGATACGACACATGCAGCTTACGTATGTGCCACGTTTCGTCATCCGGGAAGTTGCGACACAGTTTGATATTTTTTCCGCCCAGTGGACATCCACGTGTTTAGTCTTCGCTTATCCGGATATGAGGAAGGATCAATATTCAGTACGCCGAAAAATATTAGATATTCGGATTTTTATCTTTCTTTTTTCTTTTGATGGGCTTCATGTTCGGAAGAAACCGGATGCGACCGTTTGCTCGACTTTCCTCGCTTTATTTCTTGCTGTCTATCATAATTGCCTTCCATTACCTATCTCATCATCCGTAATTTAAGATCGTAATCTTTCGAAAGATTATGTTTTTTTAGACATAATAAT